TTCGCAGAGACGTTTTCAGTTGGTATAGGTGTAGTTGATATATTTACTTCAGATAAGATTTTTTTGGAAATTTCAGTGACGTATTACTGTGCATAGAATATTCTGCAGATATAATTCACATGAACCAGTGACGTCTTACTGCAGAACGCTAAAAGAAAATATAGATGACGTTTACATGCTATCTAAGCTACCTACATGATTTGAAAAAAGAAATAAACCTATATGATGAACAGCTTATTCTTCAGCAAGAATACATTTCAGGTGATCTGTACATATGATGAAGTCTATACTTTTACAGATATTATTGAAGTTTTATGATTAAGTGAATTTTTGCATTTGATATGATAAGTTCATTCTCTGCAATATTCACCATCATCCCATTTACCTTTTATATCCTTTTATAGGCTTTCTTCTTTATGGTCTCCATTATATAAAAGGCAAAGTGTTGAACTATTAAATTAAACCACTCGTAATGTTCACTACTATCAATTAAATATAGAGAAGAAAACCACTCTAATACTAATCTAATGATATGTTTTCATTTCTCTTTTTAATCATCAGGCAAGATAGAAATTGGGAGTCTGGATTGATTAGATACATTTATTTGAGGCACAGGTGATGTATTCATAGCTACTAGAAGAATCATCTAAAGAATTACCGTTAGCCATTAAGGCGCTTCACAGACATTTCGCAGAGACGTTTTCAGTTGGTATAGGTGTAGTTGATATATTTACTTCAGATAAGATTTTTTTGGAAATTTCAGAAATCGAAGACTCATCTTTTGATAACATGTGATGCAATTCTTTTGGATATTCACAGAGTGAACAATTATCTATGATCTCTTAAAGTTTATCATTAGTCAACTTTGAAATAGCATTTGCAATATATGTTATAATATACTTAATTTTGTTCACACCTACCTTTTCAAATAAATTATATATCTTTACAGCTTTCTGAGTTTTTTCTTGCAAGTATTTACGTGTGATTTTTGAGAATTATAAACTTGTTTCCAGTAGATAGATTAAGTAGGCATCACTATATAAATAGTGATACCTACTTAATCTATCTACTTACGCGATAGTGATACTTACTTATAGATATTGATGCCTACTTATAGATAGTGATATTTACTTGCTTGTTTTTACGTGTCTATGCCCCTTCTGATGATTTATTGCTATCCATCTGTTTTCACTGGTCTGTGACTGTTTGGTCGCTAAATAGGGCAGAGGTTTGTTTTTTCATTCTGGAGCTTTTTAACGATTGTATAAGAGTAAAGTTAGTT